TGAAGTGGTTTCATCTAAGGATTACCCCTCAAAGAAAGTTTATTCAAACAATAAAGAAGGTGAGGTGTAGTCTGGTCATGAAGGTGCTCTCCTGCTTTTTCTTCTCCTTTGTATATGTTGAAGTGCAGATTTGCCTCATCTCCCTCTTGCTGTCTCAAGGACCTTGTTTACTATGTATATGTAAATTGAGGTAAACACACATTCCTTTAAGATAGCCCCAGTTAGGCAGGAGTGGTTAAGTAGGTCTATGTGGGTTTGAACATGTGCTATCAACATCATACAGGGGAAAGTTATAACTTCACATATAGTGTTGTTGCACACATTTCACCATGATATTATTGACCAGCAAGTTATTAGTTTTCAAATGGTACCTCAGAAGGCATATTTTGTACAAAGGTTATTACAGTTGTGTATAGGGTGTGAATACAGGGGAGCATTGGGTCACACCCACCTTCTAGTAATTTCATCTCGACCACATTTCCCTTGTTCACGTATGAGAATGTCATGTGGGACTATGTCAAAAGCCTTACTAAAAATCAAGATATCTCACATCTACTGCTTCTCCCCTACTAACCAGGCCAATAAACCCATCAAAGAAGAAAATTAGGTTGGCTTGGCATGATTTATTCTTGACAAATCCATGTTGATTAATACATATAATCCTATTATCCTTTAGGTGCTTACAAATTGATTAATAATTTGTTCCAGTATCTTTCCAGCTATCAAAGTTAGGCTGTCTGTTCTATAATTCCCCTTTTTAAAGGGAGGCACTATGTTTTCTCTTCCCAAGTCTTCTGGGATCTCCTCTGTCCTCAATGGGAGCATACTTCTTTGTAACTATACCTGAAAGTTGGTGAACTAGGGCATTAAACACTGAACATCACATCACACATTTACAAAGTATTACTAATAGGTTATAGTGTATTTTTATAAGTATAAAAACTCACCCAGGCTTGAAACGCATCCAATACATCTACTAACCAGAGACTGATATACCAGGTGAGAGAAGGACACTACCAATGAGGTTGAGAAATAACATCCTGGTAAGAAACTCATAGTTCCTGGGAAGGGGGAGGAATATAGCCCATCAAAGTACTGCCTCTTGACCCTCCTTGGGGTTCCTTCTCATCATTTTCTGGCTAGTAGGTGTGTCATAAATTTGAAAGTCTTTCTTCCATCTTATATACAGAATTCTCTTCTTCCCCACAGTCTATTTTTGGGTCTTCCTTGCCAGTGAATAGTCCCATTACCTGCCAGTAGAGTGGCTCCTAACTTTCCTAAGTATCAGAGTGAAAGTGACATGATTCTTGTCAGTTTTACCACTGACCCTCCCCAAAACATACCAGAGTCTTATCAAATTTTCTCTGCTGCTACTTGAGAAGCAGCAGAAAAGCTGTACACATGTAGAATCAAGTAGACAGGAATACTACCTTTGCAACCATAAGTGATAGAAACCTAATAATTTTTTTTTAAATGAAAACTTGCATTCTGCAGAAACTGATGACTGAGAGAACTCTGACAGAACAGTCCAGAAGAGAAATAAATACTCCGTCTTGTTTTAGTAATTTTCACTGTATTAAAAAATAATCCACTCACTGGTGGCAAGAACATGAGCTGATTTTAGAACAGTTAGAGCAAGGGAATAGGAGTTGTGGCCCTGTTTTTGTTCTACTAATAACTTGGTATGGGACACCAGGCAAATTACTTTGTTTCCTCTGTGCTTCATTGCTCCAGTGTCTCAACAAAGCTGTAAAATAGGGATATTCCTACTTATCCTTATCACAAGAGAATATGAGATTTAATCTAAAATTGAGTTCTATAAATGACAGAGTTTTGAGATCCTTTGATGAAAGGTGCTATTGTAAGTGCAAAACACAGGTCCTGGCAAGTGAAAAAAGACAAAGGTAGAAAGACTTGTCAGCTATTTTAAAATGCAATTTGAAAATTATATATTAATCTGAGCTCTTATTTAAGAAAATCCTTGCATGTGGTTTGAAATTAAAAATTGTTCATTTTACTACAGAATTTACAGACATACACCCCAGAAAATGAGAGATGTCAGAAAAAAGCTTCAAACCTCAACAGAAACATGCATTACCCCCCTCCCACCCACACAACAAAAAATTAAATGCTGTCATTGAGGCAAGCAATATAGCAAGTAGGACTAGAAGCAGGAATCCTTAATCAGGCAAAACACAGTGAACTGAAGTTTTGCCTAGGTAAGGACTGTAGAATAAAGTCTATAGGGATAATCAGAAATAAGTGAAATTAAATTCATAGATCTAAAAAGCTCCAAGTGGCTTCGCTGTGACTCTCCCACTCTACTTCCACTCCTATTTAAATAAGCAGCCCCCATCACCGCTGTCTCAATTCCTTTCCACTTTGTCCGTTATTCCACCCATCCCCTTTATTCCCTGATCACTTAATGATTTTCACTTCATTTGTCCTTTTCTGATCAGAGTGCTCAGTTCATTAGATGTCTCACTGAACAGATATTTTAAAAAAATAGGTATCCTGTTAAAAAAACCCCGGTACCTATGCTTACCGGAATTTTGAGAACTAATTAAGGAGTCACAAGCAGCAACTCCAATGTTTCAGAATTTGGGGGAGGAGAGTTTAAATAACAAAATATTTAGAAATTCTGAAGTTGTTTCAGCTTCACGGTGGTCTGAAGGCACCATTTTTTGGCAAAATTTCACTGTTTTTATTGAAATGGTCATTTTCCATAAAAATTTGTGAAAAGTTGAGCAAAACCCAAAATATTTCAATAACATTGACAATTTTGCAAACATTTTCAGTTCATAAAGATGAAAAATTTCATTCAAAACTTTTCAACCAATGTCATCTCTAATCTACAGACTCCTCCTCCTGCAGTACTGCTAGAAAACTTCCCAATAACTACTACCAGGTTTAAAAGATGCTCATTTTAGCTGAAGACCAAACTCTGGCTCAAAGAGACAGAGAGCAAATTCTGGAGTCAGGAATCCTCCTTTCAGGATGAAAGGTTGCTTCCATTTTTAGTCCTACATTTGACCCTGTAACTTGCACAGAATACTTTCTTTTGTTTTACAGATTTTCAGACTTAATCTCACACTAAAGGATTTTTTTTTTTGTCAGGAGCCAGGAGCAGAAAAATGGATGGAGGTAAATCACAGAAGGAATTTGGGAGTTAGAGGACTTTGAGAAAGTACAGCTTTAGTTCTTGAAGACAGATCTCAGTATTCTTTAGCCACTCAACTCAAAAGCAGCCACAACTATCATTAGAAAATAGTCTAAACCCGTTTGCCATATACTTTGTCCTCTAGACACCAAGCTTGGTGCCACACCACCGTCTTCCTTTCTTCCCAGGCCTTACATCCCTCATCCTATTTCCACTGGCCAAACAGAGCATCGCTATCCACCCCCTTCATTCTCTTCCACTGGCTAATCATGAAGTCCACTCTGCTTCTCCCCCATGCCAACCCTTCACACCCCAACATTACTGCCCACTCACTTCAGCAGGTATCCCATGGACCCTCTCCTCTGTCCAGATCACCTACTCACCACCATACCCAGCTTGCAGAGATACTCTGCCCTAACCACAAGCTCCTCGCAGACACCTGGCCTCTGTCATTACCATCCCCTTTCCTTGCCCCTGGAAGTCAGTGCTGTCCTCCACACAGCTGCAGCACAGGCAGCCAACTAAGAACTACCTGTTTGTGACTGAGGCCAAATACTCACCCAGCAGCTCGTGGCTCCTGTGCAGAAGCCTCCAGCCGCCTCCAAGGCGGAGAGAAGCACAAGCCCCCGCGACTAGTTTCCCACCCAAGAGTAGTTTGACCATCCCTTTGCTGCGGCAGCTCAGCCACAAGGAGGCTGCCATCTTGCTCTCCTCCCACCCAAGGCTAGGGCTGTCCAACTCACTGCCTGAGAAAAAAAAGATACCCGCCCCCCTTCCCCGCCCGGCACACACAACAGCTGTCCCACCCCTAATTGTCTCAACAGAGATAAGCACCCCCTTGCAGCCAGGGCTACTGTGTGCTCCGGTATGGCGGAACCCGCTACCCCGCCTACAGAGGGAGCAGGACTGGCTACCTCCCTGCCCAAAGACACACACTTCAATTCAAAACCCGTTCTCATCAATGCAAGCCAGAGAAGCGTTGTCATTTGTGTCGAGCACCTGGCTAGGGCAGGGCTTCAGGTGGGGTGTAGGATTTGATTTCCCCATAATACCCGTCTTGTTTCAGTATTGCCAAACCTGAGCGTTCAAAAATCATCAGTCAGAGCCCCAAAATAATGTGATTACTTAGAAAGACTGTTTTTTTTAATAAGAAAATTGGGGTTTGTTTGCTATCCGGTGTATGAGCCGTGGGGTTTCCCTTGGATCCCTTGCCCAAGCTGTCCTTCGCCGTGACAAAACTTTTTTTTTTTAATGACAAGCGAGATTCACACCTAACAACCACCACCTAACTCCAGAAGCCGGGCATTTAAAGCGAACCCCACGGTACAGTCACAAGCGTTGGCCACCGTGGTTGGTACTTTGCGCCGTGGCCCCACCGCACGAAGAGGGGTCCGCGGAGGATCCTGCCCAGGAGAGCTCACGAGCTGGGTCTAAGACGAGACACAACGGCTGGACAGGACAGACCGGGGCCTGCGCCTGCCAGCCGGGATACACAACGTGAGGCTCCTTCTGCCGCCTCCTTCTTGCGTACCCAGGTGCCAGCTGCCTCCACATCACCGGGCACCGGTGCCCGGGCTCATCACCCCGGTCTCCGCCTAGGTCAGGCCCCCGCTGGGGGTTACGCCCAGACAGATACTCCGGCCACGGGTCTTTTCTCTCCCCTCCCCGGCGTGTTGGCCGCTGGAGAAGGAAGCGTCTCGCCCCCCGCTCTGCGTCGGGCCCGGGCCTGGGGCCGCCTCAGCCACTCGGAGTCCGGGCTGGGCGAGAGCCGGCCTCAGCCTGGGGCATGGCCCGGGGGGCGGGGTTCGGGCTGGCGGGCGAGGCGCCCCCTTGTCCCGGCGGGGATCCGACTGCACCTGACTCACGGCGCCGCCCCAGCAAGCGGCGGGGACAATCCCGCCCTGGGGCTGCCCCCTCCCCGCCTGAGCGGGGACCCTGGGCTCCCCGCAGCCGAGTCCCTGCCTGCGCCGAGGGCGAGGAAGGACCCGGGGTCCTCCCCGGCGCTGGCTGGCTCCGTGTGTCCAGACAGCGCCATGGCTGCGGCGGGGGGCGGCTTCGGCTGCCAGCGCGGAGGCGGTTGCGTGGCCGGGGATGCGCCGCAGGTAGGCGGCGGGGCCTCGGCATCTGAGGGCCGGGGGCCTCCGCGCGGGGCCCGGCTTGGCCGCGTGCGCGGACGCGCTCAGGTGGTTCAGGGACCGAAAGCTCAGCGCTCTGCGGGACTCAGCTCTTGAGCTGGGAGGCTCCCAGGCCACTTTATAAATGGCATCGGGAGTGGTTTTATCCCTCAGTGACATGCAGCCTGTAGTGTATTAAACTGCTCTCCACAGGAATGTGCTACTGGTAGCAGTTACTGATACGTAGCGGAGTGTAAGAAACTGCTGTTTTGTAAAACTGCTACCTGGTGTAGCAAATGCCTACAGGGAGCAGTTTCTTGCACTATAGTGTGTGTGTAGGAATGTGCTATATGTAGCAGTTATTGATAAGTATAGATTGTAAAAAACTGCTACTTGATGTAGCAACCTAAACCTCCCTTGCTGCAATTTAAGTCCATTGAGTCTTGTCCTATTCTCAGAGGTTTAGCAGAACAATTCTTCTCCCTCCTCTTTGTAACAGTCTTTTACGTACTTGACAACTGTCGTAGTTCGGCGTGGTGTGATCACCTGCGCTGGAATTAGGTGAGGGCACAGGAGCAAACATTCCTAACTCTTCTGAAATGGCAATGGAATCTTTTAATTACTTAAGGACCTCTGTTCTACTAGCTAAAAGGTTGCATGAGCAACAGCAGGGAACACCTCAATAATATTCTGTCACTGAATTGGTACTGACTGGAAGGGAAGAGTGAGTTGCCTGACACTTTCCTGCAGCAGCTGAGATTTCTCTGGCGGTCACCCATCAAGTATTGATTGACCTACCCCAACTCAAGATCTGTCAAAATGAAAGCCTGATGTGGTGCATTCATAGTAGTTAAATAAGGGCCATAACTAAGACTAAGATTTTGTCACAGATATTTTTAGTAAAAGTCATGGACAGATCACAGGCAAAAAAGAAAAATTCACGGAAGCTATGATCTGTCCGTGACTTTTCCTGAAAATACCTGTGAAAAAATGGGGATCTGCCGGTCCCCACACAGCCTGAAGTAGGCAGCTGTGCAGAGGCTAGGAGCTGCCTGCAGCTGCTGCAGGGAACCCGTGCTGCCTGCAGTTCTGGGGGCTCCTCCGGCTCATGGCGACTGGAGATTCCCCCACCAGCTTCAGGAGCCCCCACTGCAGCAGCCAGGAGCTCAGGGGTTCCCCCGCAGTGGCCAGGAGCTCAGGGGATTCCCCCGCCACCAGTAGCAGCCAGGATCTCTGGGGGTTCCATGGCCGTGAGCTCGGGGGTACCCCACCACCCATGGCAGCTTGGCGCTCCTGGTGTTGCCAGAGATGGCAAGGGTACCCCTCAGCTCCATGAGCAGCAGGGGACCCGGCAGCTCCCAACCACCCCAGGCTGAAGTCACAGAGGTCGCTGGAAGTTACAGATTCTGTGACCTCTGTGACTAAATTGTAGCCTTAGTCATAATGCACCAAGGTGTGTTTTAGTCAACTTTAGTTTTATAATCATTTTATCAATCTTAAATGTTCAAATAATTCTCATACATAAGAGCAACTAGAACAAATCCTGTTTTGGGACAAACAAAGAAATCTATCTTTGGGACAAATAAATCTATCTTGGATAAATTTATCTATATTTTTAATTTCATTTAGATTATGTATGTCAATAGCTGCTTTTACTAAATTAAACTTGCTTTAAAGTATTGTAGCTATCCAAAGAAGACTTGTGGTGATTTACTGCAAGGATCTGGTGCCTTTAGAAACAGCTACTGTGAAATATCAGCTGTATGATTTCTTCTGCATATGTCTGGTTCATTGCACTTGTTTCTAAGGGAAATATACATATTGTCCCTAAGATTTTGTCAAGGGAAGACACATATTTAATACATATGGATATTCACCCTAGAGTCCTAAAATAGCATTGGTGGGCCACTGTATTTTGGATCGTAAAGCTATTGAAAACTGTCTTCAAAAATCATACTAATGGACTTATTAAACTTAATGAAATTTATTAAACCTGTTAAACAAATTACCTTATATTGCAATATAAAAATAATTTAACACATTTTGAGACCCTAATGTAGTACAAATGGTTGCAGTCACATGAAAAAAACTAATTTTCCTTGACACCTTAGACTCTATTGGCTTTTAAAAAAAATAACTTTAATAAAGCATCCAATTCCCAGAGAGACAAAGTGGGTGAGGTAATATCGTTTATTGGACCAACTTCTGTTGGTGATAAAGACAAGCTTTTGAGCTTACACAGAGCACTTCTGCAGGTCCAGGAAACTTACTCAGAGGGTCACAGTTAAGTAAAAAGAAAAGGAGTACTTGTGGCACCTTAGAGACTAACAAATTTATCTGAACATAAGCTTTCGTGAGCTACAGCTCGCTTCATCGGATGCATCCGATGAAGCGAGCTGTAGCTCACGAAAGCTTATGCTCAGATAAATTTGTTAGTCTCTAGGGTGGCACAAGTACTCCTTTTTCTTTTTGCAAATACAGACTAACACGGCTGCTACTCTGAAACAGTTAAGTAAGATTCCCAGACCTGAAGAAAAGCTCTGAGTAGGCTCAAAAGATTCTCTCTCTCACCAACAGAAGTTGGTCCAAAAGAGATCACCTTACTCAAGTTACTCCATTGGCTTCAGTAGACTTGTGTTGATATACATCAACTGAGTATCTGGTCTAATGTGTGTTAACTTGGCATCTGCCTAAGTGTGAAAAATGAAGAATGACAAATCAATAGCAATCTCAGTATAAAACTCCTATTAAAACTGTATTTTAACTGTTACTAATGACAATTTAGATTTTTAAAACTGATTTAATTTTAATTGTCAAATTTATTTTTCACCAATGTAAATATAAATGCTTAGGATTCTTATACACGGACTCACTCAGTTAAAATGTATTATAATTATATAGTTTAAAATCTTCTAGTTTCTGTTCATTTTAACAAGCTGCTTTTCTTAACTGTCTTGCTTCACTTGACGACAAAACACAGTCAATGTTGTTTTCAAAAGATAATAAGCCACAGCAGAACAGTGATGACTGTGTTTCAATTTATATCTGTTGTACAAATGATAGCTAGCCCAGATTTATCAAAAACTAATCCTGGATTATGTCTGTTGAATTTCCAAGTGCCTTTTAAACATGTTCACAGCTAAGGTTCATATGAAGAATACAGCCATTGTCTGTTATGGGAGAGGATTACAATGTTAAATCTATATAACCATTTAATTTTTAAAAATTGGAAACACTGTTGTATTTGATTTAAAATACCATAGTTGATCTTCATGGCTATGTGATGAAACCAGATGCTTTCATAAATAGAGCATTTGCTGATCCTGGAAAAATACAGGAGGGGTGTTTTTTGTTTTTTGTAACCCTGGAATTCTGTGGGAAAATGTTGGGAATTTCTTAATCTTCTTGATTTAAAAAAAAAAATATTGCTGAATGTGAACTTTTTTTTTTAATTCATCTCAATTTTTCCAGTGATGTTAAAACTAAAGGAAACAATTGTATTGTCGTGGTCACAGCATTTATGACAGGCTCCCTACCAACCAGAGAGAATATGCAAAAAGAAAAGGAGTACTTGTGGCACCTTAGAGACTAACCAATTTATTTGAGCATGAGCTTTCGTGAGCTACAGCTCACTTCGGTGCACCTAGAAATAGTGTCATCATGTAGAGTCATCATCATATACAATTTATACACATATATAAACTCATATTACATAACAGGCATATATGAAACGTGTTTATGCACTCAAGTGTAATGGCATGTTATTTTTAATCAAATTAGTAAGGAGACAAGTTTTCTTTGAAGTTGAAAGAAAAAATAGGAACGTAGTACATAGGTTAGAAACTTTTAATAGTGTATTGTGAATGAAGTTTAAAAAAGGAAGAGGCTCTGGGAATTGTATTATGTGTCTGGAGGGTGACAGAATTATTAAAATCAAATTTGACTTATAATTTTATATACACTAGTGTGCTATCAAAACTAAGGCCCATATTATGCAAACATACACTTGCTTTGTAGTGGTAAAATTAAGTATGTGCATGAGTTTTTGCAGGATCATGGCATTGTTAAACAGCATAAGTATTTGGGAAATAGATTTGACTGTTTAATTAAAATGTATTTAATATAGCTTTTTCCATCAGGGGAGAACCAAAAATGAGTTACTTACATTTTCAGCTCAGTGAAACTAAATGATACTGCAGATGAAAGTATTTAGGGAATTTTCAGTTTCAGGTTTCCTTTGTAGAAAAATATTACCTTTCTTAAAGGTGTGTTTTTCAGATATTCTTGTACATAGTATTTTATTGGTTTTAGATAAATGTAAAATATTGTCTATCTATTGTGCTTGAGAAATCAAACTTTCTACATCAGGAAGGGGAAAACCAGTTTCTAAGGGTGAATGTTATTGGCTCCATAGAGTTGTAAGCAACAAGACCAAAGCATCTGGTTTGCAAAACTAACTTTGGTGTCAGATACATGGGAATGTCTTGGGTTCCCAATCACTATCCCCTTTTTCCTAGGTGAACTAAAGAATGAGTTACAGAATCCAAAATTAATCAGTAAATGATACTTTTCATGAAAAGAGATTCTACAGGAAGAGTAGCGAAATCAGAACAGGCAGCAATAGCCTGTGAAGTTAGTGACAAGTCTTCAAAGGTAGAAGCTTCAGGAACCAGTGATACTGAAGTATGTGTTACTGTGTTACAAGTTGGAGATCAAAGTGTGTATTCAGGTCTTTCAAACAAAAATATAAAAGTTTGAACAGTTTTCTTGTCATAAACAAAGTAAAATTAAACCTCTATTGTGCATTTATAAATTGCGGCTCTCTAGCCCAGAAATAGCTGCATTTCCATGTAGTATGTAAAATCCATTAATGTTGTAAATACTAATAAGAAGACATTTCAACAACTTCCCTAATGTTGGATACATAATAGTATTCATTTTCTGAGTGCTGTTACTTAGTATACTTCTTCCCTGTGTTTTTTAGTTTTATGCAGCGCTCGACCAGTGCTCCCTTTAGTATGTCTGATATTTAAACAGTAAAGCAAAGCTGAGCTGCAAAAATCCCAGATGAACTATGAATGAGTCTGTGACACTGTACTCACCTTCAGGAACTATATATACTTTTTTTTTATTTAATATTCCATTGCGTTTATAAAATTAGTGATTATATTAAATTGAATAATGTTTTCTCTGAAAGAAATATTAAAATGGAGCAATTAAGATGATAGCTAAACAGCATCTGAGGCATTCTCACATCGTAAAATGGTAGGAATGTGAAGCTAGTCAAGTGATCTGGTGAGGTGAGCCTTCCTCTTTTGATATTATTTAAATGCTAAGTAAAAAGAAAATAAAACAGATCTAAAACTTATACAGTATGATCCATACATATTCATAATCATAGTAGATATATCCCATTAATAAAATTAGGAATTTTGTTATTGTAATTCAAATTAAAATCTTGCAAAATAACCCTACACAAAAACCATTCAAGAGGAGGAAGTATGTATCACACAGACTTCTAAAAGCAGGTCCTACACTTACTCCTAGAGATGATGGAAAACGTTCCTTTATTTGGCACTCAGTGGAAACTCTTCAGTCATGTGATATGAATTTACAATGCAAGTTTGGGGTAGTGGTTATGGTGGGATAGATGCACAGGAAGTTAGCCTATGTGTAATTTCACAAGGGGAGGAATTAACTGCCTTCAAAACATTTGAAGGATGTAAACACTAAGGATGGGCAAATGTATTTAGGGCATGGAAGGAGAAATAAGAGAAAAATTATGCTACTTTGTGATCATAAGGATAGTTATCCTGTATTGGCAAAGGTCAGTGGATGGACTAGATGACCTAATCTTTCTCTTTTCTCGCTAATCTTGGTGGGATCGATCTAAAGTTCATTGACTGCCCTGAGCTTTGGACCAGGCCTTCCAACTATGAATGCCATCTGATTTTTTTTGTTTTTCTAATGTGGCCCACATAAAATGTCCAGGGCAGCATACAAACATACTGTCAGTCTTTAGTTCAGGCACCAGTGAGATTTTTTTTGATTTTGAAGTCCTTCTGTGTGAATCAGATATCTCATGCAATTGATTCCAACATTTATAAGTGGACAATTACTTTTTTTTTTTTTTTTTTTTTTTAGGACAAGTTACATCCAAGAAATCTGATCCCGGAGCTCTGTAAGCAGTTTTATCATTTAGGATGGGTCACAGGAACTGGTGGAGGAATCAGCTTGAAACATGGGTAAGTGGGGGTTTTGAAAGCGATAACTATAGAGATGATGGGGTCAGTTGAATAAGCGGTGAGTGCACCACAATTCATGAAGGATGGCTGAAATTCAGGAGTGAGGCATTAGACAAAGATATGTTGCAGAGATAACATTCTTGGTCTCTGAGAAGAAAGGAATAATTCTTGTATTCAGATAAATCCTGAAGATGTATTAATGGGAGATAATTTAGGCAGGTCAGGCAACAAGAAGATAAGATGACTTGCAGTAGGAACCACTTTTTGCTGTATAATTTTGCATGAAATGTACCACTATCTAGTCAGCTTGATAAATTTGATGTTATTAATGGACGCAGAGCTCCTCTTAGTGGCCATTGAAAGAAAGGAACCATAGTCATAATTAAGGCTAAGTTTTAGTCATGGGTATTTTTAGTAAAAGTCATGGACAGGTCATGGGCAGTAAACAAAAATTCACGGACCCGTGACCTGTCCATGACTTTTACTAAAAACACCCCTGACTAAAACTGGGGGCGGACTCGGGAAGTGCCGTGGGTGCTGGAGAAGTGGGGGAGTGGGTGCTTGGGCGGGGCAACTCATGGCCCGGGAGGGTGTTGTGGGGGAGGAGTCATGGCCTGGCGGGGGGAAGGGGCATGGGTGCTGGGGAGGGTTAGTGGGGCTGGGGCAGGCTCCCTACCCAGTTCCTGGGAAGCAGTGGCCTCAGCTCCACGTGCTGTCTCCACTCCATCCCGAGACAGGCCCCAAGCCCCAGTTCTGCAGCTCCCATTGGCTGGGAACCATGGCCAATGGGAGCTGCCGGGGCAGTGCCTGGGGGCAGAGGCAGCAAGTGGAGCTAAGAGCTGAGGGAGAGGAGCCCCCACCCAGGTAAGCAGCGGCCCCAAGCCCTGAGCCCCCACACACCCAAACTCCTGATGCTGTAGGGCAGGAGGGCCCTGAGACTGCCGCAGCAGCAGCTAGTGCAACTGACCCAGGGGCTGCCCAAGCTGCTCAGGTGGCTCCTGGGCCAGCCACACAAGGCTGCTGCAGAAGTCGCAGAAAGTCTTCCATGACCTCCATGACAAACACGGAGCCTTAGTCATAATTACACCACAGATGCACCGTTAGTGCAAGATAAATGTGATCTGAAGTCACAAAGTAGTGAAACACTGAGACTTGTCAGTACCCCTCGCCTCACCACATGCATGCAACTATGTTGCTTTTCAAGCATCTTATCTGAAGTAGAGGACATTGATTTTACAAGTGTGAGGTTAAGCAGCTCAAAAGACTGCTATATCCTCTGAAGTTTTTTACAGGGTGGAATGGTGTATTAGTCTGAGCACAGTTAGAGCCATTTAGAACTGTCCTTAGTTCTAATGTGTGTGCTGACATTGACTACCTTTGTTGCCTTGGACAGGTCACTTAACCTCTCTGCCTCATTTTCTGTTTGAGACAAGGGGGGTGAGGTAATACCTTTTATTGGACCAGTTTCTGTTGGTGAGAGAAACAAGTTTTCATCATCATTACTCACTGGTGGAATCTCATGAATGATTTAGAATAATTGCACTAGTTTGGATGTAGGGCACTGAATTGGAAAATTGTTCTATGACTCTTGATCAACTGTCCTACATTTCAAATACTATATTCTATTGTCAACTCTTCATTAAACATTTAATTTTAAAACAAGTAATTTTTCTTTTAGAAAGGAGGGACGTCTCTTTGTTTCAGTAGCAATCAAATAGTAATCAATTGCTTAACATACTACTTTCGTAGTGTGATAGACCCAGGCCAGTTGGGTACAGCAGAGTAGTAGAAGGCAGATATACTGGCCACTGGATAAGCAGTTTTCTGTTCCCTGACTGACCAGAGAAGGGGCTGCTCCAGGCTAGGGTGGACACATGACTCCAGTTAGCCTGCAAAGAGTTAATTGAAGTCATTAGGCTAATGAGAACACCTGACTCCAATTAACCTGCAAAGAGTCAGGTGAGGCTGTTAAGCTAATGTGAACACTTGACTCTAATTACAGCCCCTCTGATACTATAAAAGGGCTCACTCCAGTCAGGCCAGGGGAGCGGAAGTGCAACTGAAGGGCTGGGTAATGAAGATACCCTCAAGCCACTAGAAAGGGAGCCCTATGGTAAGGGTGAAGAAGGTGTTGAGAGAGAGAAGCGGGAGAGCTGTGGGGAAGCGGCCCAGGGAAATGTAGCAACTGTGGCAGTAAAAGGTCAGCTGCCAACAGCTGCTGCCATTAGGGTCCCTGGGCTGGAACCGGGAGTAGAGGTCGGGCCCGGGTTCCCCCGAACTTGACACTACAGAAACACCTCCTAAGAGGGGAAGACAGGCCCCTGTCAGGACAGGAGGCTAAACTGTTCTGGAACAAGCCCATAGGGACAGCAGAGACTGTGGGAGTTCTCTCACCAACCTCCTTGCTGGCTTATGATGAAAATGGCTCAGTAGGCTGTGACCCTTGCCTCTAGAGGGAGAAGGGCTACATAGAGGGTCACAGTGAGCCTCTGAGGCTAGCGTAATCCTCCAGGAAGCACGGGACCCACTGAGACAAGGTCAGAGCTCTGCCACATTAGTTATCTTGCTCATAGAATGGCACCAAGTATCAATGATTAAATTCATTAGTATTAATACATTCGTACTGCAAATAGTTAATCCATTAAAACCACATTTTTTTGTATCTCAGATATCACGTGTTTTGTCAAGATAAGTATACTATCTTGAAGGTTATATCTTATTCAAAGGACTCTGTCTTGTCCATAAATATGAGCTCCATGTTTTCCTTAGGAAACTAACAGAGTCTTTGTGCTGAAATTTCTGGAAATTTATCTGTAGATTTACTAATTGTTCACTAGGTGTCTCTATAGATTTTAAAATAAGACCTTTGAAGATGAATAGTGATTACAAATATTATCCTTTTTATTGCCTTTACTGAAAATATTTCACATCCTATTTTTAAATAATTTTAATTTATGTAAAGATGTTGAAATTCTTCATTCACATAAGGCTTGCAAGCTTTAGGTATTTCCACTTGAACATAAATTGTTCAGTTTATTGAATTGTTCAGTGTTTTCTTCTGTGTGAATTAAATACTGTATATTTATTCATACATTAAAACATATATAATACAATTTAATGGTTACCATATAGATAAGTGTATTTCCCAGTAACTAAAGGTGATTACATACTCTAATAACTAATTGATATTAAGCTATAAATGATAGGTTTGGCCCTGTTTTTTCTTGCATCACTCAGTGTCTACTTGCAAATTCCCTTCTGTTTCCTTCAATTCCAACTAATGTGGGGTGTGGTTTTTTTTTCTCTTCAGTGATACAAATATACTCAGTTAAATCTGTAGGCAGTTTGAAAGAACTATTTACGTTTTGGATATTCTCAGAGCTTCCAACTGTTCTAGTAAGATCAGTGTTGCATATTGAAAACCATCTGTATGTGAATGTGTGGGAGGACAAGTGTGGTTGCATAATCATGTGCTGTGTAAGTTAATTCTTTATCAATAAAGGGTAGAGTACTAAAATGGCGCTAGCAAATTATATATACTTCAAATTCTATATCTTATACATCAGTGGTTCTCAAAGCCGGTCCGCCGCTTGTTCAGGGAAAGCCCCCGGCGGGCCAGACCAGACCAGTTTGTTTACCTGCCTCGTCCGCAGTTTCGGCTGATCGTGGCTCCCACTGGCCGCGGTTCGCCGCTCCAGGCCAATGGGGGCTGCGGGAAGGGCGGCCAGCTCATCCTTTGGACCGCGCCGCTTCCCGCAGCCCCATTGGCCTGGAGCTGTGAACCGCGGCCAGTGGGAGCCGCGATTGGCCGAACCTGCAGACGCGGCAGGTAAACAAACCTGTCCTACCCACCAGGGGCTTTCCCTGAACAAGCGGCGGACCGGCTTTGAGAACCACTGTTATACATGGAGCTAAATTCTATATGTTTTCCTAGAGATGAAATCTACATTGCGCCATCAGGAGTCCAAAAGGAAAGAATTCAGGTATGTAAAACTTTGTTTTTTACCTCAGAACTCATCCCTGAAAAGTAACAAAATTACTTTTAGTGAGCTATTTATTCTGAGTGTTCTTTCAAAGCAGTTTGGGTTTTTTTCTTGTTATGAAGTCTGAAACACCTTATTATTACTGACTACCTTCTTGAGACCACTGATGATTTCTCCTAGTATTCTGTGATCTCAGACAGCAATTCAGTACTTCTTCAGTGACGTAAGTAGGTTACTCCTTTTGAGTTTTCTTGTCCTTAAATTAGTACTGACCATGATATCTGAAATCTACTTCAGCCCCAGATTTGTTCTGCAACAACCCAACATTCAGCTAGTTTGCTACAGTTTTAGTTAATAATGTATACATGCAATTGGGTAACTGTGTGTTAAAGCTTCTGTTCTAAATATTTTTATTAGGTCTGTCGATTAATCTCAGTCAATTTACATGATTAACTCAAAAAAATGAATAGCAATTAAAAAAAATTAATCACTATTAATCGCAATTTTAATTGCACTGTTATCAATAGAATACCAATTGAAATGTATTAAATATTTTTATATATATTGTATTGTAACTGAAATCAGTGTATATTATTTTTTATTACAAATATTTACACTGTAAAAATTATAACCAAAGAAATAGTATTTTTCAGTTCACCTCATACAAGTACCATAGTGCAATTTCTTTCTCGTGACAGTGCAACTTACAAATGTAGATTTTTTTTTTATTTTTTTTTTTGTTACATAACTGCACTCAAAAACAAAACAATGTAAAACTTCAGAGCTTACAGGGCCACTCAGTCCTACTTCTTGTTCAGCCCTTCACTTAAGACAAACAAGTTTGTTTACATTTACAGGGGATAATGCTGCCCTCTTCTTATTTACAATGTCACCAGAAAGTGAAAACAGGCATTTGTGTGGCACTTTTGTAGCAGCCATTGCAAGCTATTTACGTGCCAGATATACTAAATATTCGTATGTCTCTTCATGCTTTGGCTACCATTCCAGAGGACATGCTTCCATGCTGATGATGCTCATTTAAAAAAAATAATTTGTTAGTTAAATTTGTGACCGAACTCCTTGAGGGAGAATTGTATGTCCCCGGCTCTGTTTTACCTGCATCCTGCCATATATTTCATGTTGTAGCTGTCTCAGATGATGACCCAGCACATGTTGTTCATTTTAAGAACACTTTCACTACAGATTTCACAAAACGCAAAGAAGGTACCAATGTGAGATTTCTAAAGATAAATACAACACTTGACCCAAGGTTTAAGAATCAGAAGTGCCTTCCAAAATCTGACAGGGATGAGGTGTGGAGCATGCTTTCAGAAGTCTTAAAAGAGCAACACTCCGATGCGTAAACTAAAGAACCCAAACCACCAAAAAAGAAAATCAACCTTCTGCTGGTGGCATCTGACTCAGATAATGAAAACGAACATGCGTAGGTCCGTACTGATTTGGATTGTTATTGAGCAGAACCCGTCATCAGCATGGACGCATGTCCCCTGGAGTGGTGATTGAAGCATGAAGGGACATATGAATCTGTAGCGCATCTGGCATGTAAATATCTTGCAACACTGGCTACAACAGTTCCATGAGAACGCCAGTTCTCACTTTCAGGTGACGTACACAAGAAGCAGGCAGCATTATCTCCTGCAAATGTAAACAAACTTGTTTGTCTGAGCGATTGGCTGAACAAAAAGTGAGTGGACTTGCAGGCTCTAGAACTGAACATTGTTTTATTTTTGAATGCAGGTGGTGTTTTTTTAACATAATTCTAAATTTGTAATATATTTCATGATAAAGAGATTGCACTACAGTGCTTGTATTATGTGAATTGAAAAATACTATTTCTTTTGGGATTTTTTATAGTGAAAATACTTGTAATCAAAAATAAATATACAGTGAGCACTGTACACTTCGTATTCTGTGTTGTAATTGAAATCAATACATTTGGAAATGTAGAAACCATCCAAAAATATTTAAATAAATGGTATTCTCTTATTGTTTAACAGTACGATTAATCGCAATTCATTTTGTTAATCATGCAATTAATTTTTTTAATGTCTTGACAGCCCTAATTTTTATTTGTTTGTATGTAAATATTTCTTTCTCTAGGGCTGCTCTGTAGGCAGGTAGGATTTCCCCAGATCAAGATGACCTTAGCCCAGTGGTGGGCAACCTGCAGTCCATGGGCCGCATGCGGCCCATCAGGGTAATCTGATTGCGGGCCATGAGACGTTTTGCTGACAACCATCCGCAGGCATGCCCCCCCCCCCCAGTTCCCAGTGGCCGCGGTTCGCTGTTCCCAGCCAATGGGAGCTGCGGGAAGCAGCAGGCCGCAGGGATGTGCTTGCTGCCGCTTTCCGCAGCTCCCATTGGCTGGGAACGGCGAACTATGGCCACTGAGAGCTGCGAGGGGCTGTGCTTGCGGATGGTCAATGTCAGCAAAATGTCTTGCAGCCCACAATCAGATTACCCTGATGGGCCGCCGGTTGCCCACCACTACCTTAGTCTATCTCAGTTCCTCTCCCTTAAGGATAAAAACAGAAGTACTGCTGGAGACGAATAGTAAATACTGCCAGCTGATTTATGATACTAGGGACTCCTCCGAAACAATGTGGAGTAGGAATCACTGCTCCACATCTCCATCGGAGATAATACAATGAAGGATGATAGGAATCCTCTCACTGATTGACACTTGGGTTTCCATATGGTGATCATTAAATGTATTTGCAGAAGAAAAGATGGGGGAAGATACATTCTGGCATGATGCATAATTGATTTTAAATAAAAAAGCTTTGGGCTTAATCTCATGGAGAAACAGTTTATTAATGCAAAAATACAGTTTATGTAAAGCTGCCAAAAGCAGGCCTGTTTTCTACTTATCTCCCCAGAAGAAAAGTAAATCTATTTTGGGGAAGAGTGTCACAGTTTAAGTAGTTCTACCTCTCTCACAGCCCGAAGATATGTTTGTTTGTGACATAGAAGAACGGGACATCAGCGGCCCTCCACCACACAAGCAACTAAAGAAAAGCCAATGCACACCTCTCTTTATGAATGCTTACACCATGAGAGGTATGCAATAAATGCATTTTATTCAGACAATAATATAAATCAGTTCATGACAATATAAATCAGTTCATGAAATGGAAACTCCTAAGTCATAAGTGTAGCATCTCTGGAATTTAATATTGCCTTAATTGGAAAATACCGTAGTAGCTAAATTTATAGTCTCATGACCTTGCAGTAGTTTCATACCAATAGATTTTAGGCCATATTACAATCTTTTGCAATTGTAAAGGTTACCAAATTGCTAGTTACAATGGTGTAAGAAATGTAACACTATTCAGATTCCAAATTATTGACAGAACATGTATTTACTTTACAATTATAAATATTCTGAAAAGCAAAACTTTTTTCCTTTTTCTCCAATTACACTTCAGGCCAAGTCATGAGTTTAGGATTCTATTTCTCTTGCATCTGTTGATATCAGAAACGCCAGAAATAGTACAGAGAGTGCAACTCTCAATTGTTTGCTACATTAAGTGGAAGCAGCATCCCCCATATCAGTTCTTTGAGAGAAACAAACCCAAATGGGATCTAGTAACGGGCATGACATTTCATGCATGACTGCAGTAAACTTGGATTAAAGGCCCTGTTTGTCTACTGCTTCTATCCAATTCATCCTAATGGGGAAAAAAGGCAATACAACACCTTTATCTAATGTCTCTGGTCCCATTTAGAAATATATTTTAATATATTTTAAAAATATTTTTAAATGTATATTAATCTAACACTTCTGCACTTTCTGCACATTTTTATCAGTTTAATTTTATGGAATTTGATTTTAACAGTAGCTGAAAGTTTTATGCAATTGTACAAGATTTGTGTCTCTTGTCCTCCTCCCCGCCCCCCCTCCAAAAAAAAAAAAGATTTTGGGAGTCTATTCTTGTTTTCCTGTAAAGGAAACTTGCACATGGAGAGCCTTTGCATATCCAAAGGAGAACTTGCAATTTTCAACAACATTGCAGGTTTATACCTTGTGATTCCTGTGCTTGACCTTTCCACCACACCACAGTATAAAAATAAAATGATTGAAAGTGATGTCAGGGAACCAGTTTATAGTCTCCAGAGAGAAATAGCTGTACATCAAAGAAACTCTCCTTCTCTTCAGAGTTCTTTGAATCTTCTTTGTACTCTTCTGCCACAAATAAGTCAAATTTTTAATTCTTTAGAACCTCAGCGCTCTTTGGTGATGTAATTAAAATGTTTTAGTCATCTCAACAGATGGAAATGTAAACTAGGTGCATGAGGGAGAAGGTTTGCCTGGAATTTGCACTAAAACTAGCTACTGACACCCTAAAGATAACTCTCACTGTTCTTTGTAGATTAGAGAGGACTTCTTATTAACATACCTTTTGGTTGCTCGAAAGAACTGACTATTTTCCTTGTCTAGTCCATTAGCAAGGATGTTCAGCTGAAGTGTTGAAACTCATTTTCACATGTCAGGTTATCTTAATGGAAGATAGGGAGTCACATTTCAAGACGAAATACAGAGGTATCCCTTTTTCTTCTCCTCCTAGGAGCTGGAGCTGTGATCCACACTCATTCAAAAGCTGCTGTCATGGCTACCCTTCTCTATCCAGGAAGTGAGTTTAGAATTACTCATCAGGAAATGATAAAAGGGATCAAGAAATGCACTTCAGGAGGGTATTACAGGTAGATTCCCATTTACAAGACTAATCCGGTGTACAATGTTTCTGCTAAATGTCATCTTCAAAAATGTCAGTGTCTTTCATGGTGTCAGCATTCAAGTGAGCAATATTTGTAATTAAGTCAGTGGAATATTCACTAAGGGGCTTATTTGAATAAAACTTACCATGCGTGTCTTGGACCAAAGCTCAAATCCAGTTTGAGGAACGTTAAACTGCCTAGGGAAGAACAATGTTTTCCAGTGTTATGAATTTCCCTTACATTTCAATATGCTGCTTTTATTGCGAATTTGAGTGATTCTGTGTACTAATGAAAGGTGAAAGGCTGCCATTTTTTAATACTGATGCTAGATATAGTGAAAAGATAGCAGCCCCAGCTTCCAACATGCTGTCTCAGGGGTGACCCTAACCTGATGAAAAGAAAACACCCTATGGTTAGGGATAAAAAGTAACAAGATCTCTGTAACAGCTCAGTCACTGACTTCTCCAGAGAAGGTGCTGAATTATTCTAGATTTTATGTGGTGGCTTTTTGTGGGACTCTTTCCCACAAAGCATGGAGTTGAGACGAGCACACTCATTTCAGATGGTGTGTGTGACAACAAGATGAGAAATTATGGGATGTTAAAGATATACACCTCTGCACTTTCTTGGTGTTAATTTTGTAACTAACATTTTCCCCAAAAACTTTTAGGAAGGTAGAAATGCATTGAAGTTTGGATTTGACACAAGGGTGTGTTCTCTGCACATAAAGATGGCAACTTCACGCAAACTTTTTGTCTGCATTAGTATTTGTATTTTTAATGTATAGCAAAGGCACCTGATAGCACTGGATTATTATCTTGAATTTTGTATAAAAATCTTTTTTTTTTTTTAATTCAATTTTCAGGGGCTCTTTCTGGGTATTGTTTTCTGGTGATTGTTCAGGTAAATATTAAGGATAGGATTTTCAAAATATTTATCATTGGCTCTCACTGAAGTCAGCAGAAGTTTTACCTTTGACCGAGCCCTGGTCTACACTGCTGGGTTCAGTCAAATTTAGCCATGATAGGTCGATTTTAAAATGAATGCATCTACACCACCAACCCTGTCCCGTCAGTCTAAAGGGCTCTTAAAAACGACTTCTGTACTCCTCCCCGGCGAGGGGAGTAGCGCTAAAATCGACCTTGCTGGGTCGAATTTGGGGTAGTGCAGACGCAATTCGACAGTATTGGCCTCCGGGAGCTATCCCAGAGTGCTCTAATTGCTCTGGACAGCACTTTGAACTCCGATGCACTAGCCAGGTACCCAGGAAAAGCCCCGGGAACTTTTGAATTTCATTTCCTGTTTGGTCGGCATAGCACACTCAGCAGCACAGGTGACCATGCGGTCTCCCCAGAATCGCAAACGAGCTCCAGCATGGACCAAAAGGGAGACACTGGATCTGATTGCTGAATGGGGAGAAGAATCTGTGCAGGCCAAACTCCGATCAAAAAGAAGAAATGCTAATATATATGCCAAAATCACAAAGGGCATGGTGGAGAGAGGCTACAACAGGGACACACAGCCATGCCGCATGAAAGTTAAGGAGCTCAGGCAAGCCTACCAAAAGACAAAGGAGGCAAACGGTTGCTCAGGGTCAGAGCCCCATACATGCCGCTTCTTTGATCAGCTGCATGGCATTCTAGGGGGGGACCTTACCACTACCCCACCACTGTCCACGGACACCTGCAAGGGGGGAGTCTCACGCAACAGGGAGGAGGATTTTGTGGATGAGGAGGAGGAAGAGAATGCGCAGCAGGCAGGTGGTGAATCCATTCTCCCTGGCAGCCAGTACCTTTTCATCACCCTGGAGCCATTACCCTCCCAAGGCGGGATCCCCGACCCTGAAGGCGGAGGAGGCAGCTCTGGTGAGTGCACATTTGAAACTACAGTACAGGGTTTAAAAGCAATAGTGTTTAATGTTTGATTTGCCCTGAAGAATTGGGATGCATTCGCGGCCAGTATAGCTACTGGAAAAGTCTGTTAATGTGTCTGGGGATGGAGCGGGAATCCTCCAGGGACATCTCCATGAAGCTCTCATGGAGGTACTCTGAAAGCCTTTGCAGAAGGTTTCTGGGGAGTGCTGCCTTATTTCATCCTCCACGGTAGGACACTTTACCACGCCAAGCCAGTGTCTTGAATCATTGCAACACAAAGCATGGCAGCGAATGGTCCTGGGTTTTGATCGCATTCAAGCAACATTCGGTCTTTATCCTTCTGGGTTAGCCTCAGGAGAGTGATATCATTCATGGTCACCTGGTTGAAGTAGGGGAATTTTTGTAAGGAAACAGTAAAAGGACCCCGTTCATGCTGGGTTGTTTGCACTTGGGTAAAAGGGATCATCCCAGAGAGTAGCCATGTGATGGGCTGGGGGGAGGTGTGTGCTGCACATCCACCTGAAAACCACAGCCCCTCCTTTTAAATGTGAAACCAAACCAGCAGTGCTTGCTATGGGAAAGGATGGCGCTGCAGTTTGAAACCATTCCCACATGTTATGAAGACGTAAGAAGCCAACCCCACGTACCAAAAGGCTTACCATGGCTTCCTGGAAACCAAATTCTGTTGCCCAGCCATTTGTGATATGTCACCATACCAGCAGGCGCTCAATATAAAAGGCAAAATGCGACCTTGTACCTAAAGCACATGTGCTGTCTGCTGTGGATTGCGTGATTCACTGTGAAAGACTCTCCCTTTTGTTCTCAGAAATGTATCATCTTAAATTTTACTCTCCCTTTTTCCAGGTGCCAATGTTTCTATGCTCCCCCTATCATCTCCGTCCCTGAGGTTATCGCAGATTAGAAGGCAAAAAAAACGCACTCGCGATGGCATGTTTTCCAAGCTCATGCAGTCCTGCCGCACTGATAGGGCACAGCTTAATGCATGGAGGCATTCAGTGGCAGAGGCCAGGAAAGGACTAAGTGAGCACGAAGAACAGAGGCAGATGGTGAAGCTAATGAGGGAGCAAACGGACATGATGAAGCGTCCGTTGGAGCTGCAGGAAAGCCAACGAGCACAGACCCCACTGCATCCATTGTATAATGGCCTGCCCTCCTCCAAGTTCCATATCCTCCTCACCCAGATGTCCAAGAACGCACAGGGGGGAGACTCCAGGCACCCAGCCACTCCACTCCAAGGATGGCTCAAGCAACAGAAGGCTGTTGTTCAAACAGTTTTGATTTGTAGTGTGGCTGCAATAAGCAATGTGGCCTTGTCCTTCCCTCCTCCCCCACCCCACCCCACCCGGGCTCCCTTGTCAGTTATTTCACTTTTTTTTTTTTTAAATTAATAAAGGAAGAATGCATGGTTTCAAAACAATAGTTACTTTATTTCCTTTGCCAGCTGTGATCGAAGAGGGGAGAGTGGTTGGCTTACAGGGAATTAAAATCAACAAAGGGGGCAGGTTTGCAGCAAGGAGCAGCACACACAACTGTCACACCGTAACCTGGCCAGTCATGAAACTGGTTTTCAAAGCCTCTCTGATGCGCAGCATGCCTAGCTGTGCTCTTCTAATTGCCCTGGTGTCTGGCTGCTCAAAATCGGTTGCCAGGTGATTTGCCTAAACCTCCCACCCCACCATAAACGTCTCCCCATTACTCTCACAGATATTATGGAGCACACAGCAAGCAGCAAAAGCAATGGGAATGTTGATTGCGCTGAGGTCTAACCTAGTCAGCAAACAGCACCAGCAAGCTTTTAAATGTCCAAAAGCACATTCTACCACCTTTCTGCACTTGCTCAGCCTATAGTTGAACTGCTTACTACTGTCCAGGCTACCTGCGTATGGCTTCATGAGCCATGGAAGCAAGGGGTAGGCTGGGTCCCCAAGGATAGCTATTGGCATTTCAACATCCCCAATTGTAATTTTCTGGTCTGGGAAGTAAGTCCCTTCTTGCAACTGCTCGAACAGCCCGGAGTTCCTAAAGATGCAAGGGTCATGCACCTTTCCTAGCCATCCCACATTGATGTCGGTGAAACATCCCTTGTGATCCACCAGTTTTTGCAGCACCATTGAGAAGTATCCCTTGTGGTTTATGTATTGGTTGGCAAGGAGGTCCAGTGCCAAGATAGGGATATGTGTTCAGTCTATCACCCCACCACAGTTGGGGAACCCCATTGCAGCAAAGCCATCCACTAAGACCTGCACATTTCCCAGAGTCACTCCCTTCATAGCAGAACATCAGTGATTGCACTGGCTACTTGGATCACAGCAGTCCCCATGGTAGACTTGCCCACTCCAAATTGATTCCCGACTCACCGGTAGCAGTCAGGCACTGCAAGCTTCCACAGGGCTATCGCCACTCGCTTCTGAACTGTCAGGGCAGCTCTCATCTTGGTATTCCTGCACTTCAGCGCGGGGGAAAGCAACTCACAAAGTTCAAGGAAAGTGGCCTTACACATGCGAAAGTTTTGCAGCCACTGTGAATCATCCCATAGCTGTGGTCCCACCAGTCTGTGCTTATTTGCCGGGCCCAGAATTGGCATTCCACTGTATCAACCAGCCCCACTGCCGCCATGATGTCCCAGTTGGCACAGCCCGTGCTTTCAGGAATGTCTTTCTCCGTGTCCTCATCACAATCGTCCTCGTGCTGGTGTCTCTTAGCCCGGTTCTGCACATACTCCAGGATAATCCGTGAGGTGTTTACAATGCTCACTACATAGAATCATAGAATATCAGGGTTGGAAGGGACCTCAGGAGGTCATCTAGTCCAACCCCCTGCTCAAAAGCAGGACCAATCCCCAATTAAATCATCCCAGCCAGGGCTTTGTCAAGCCTGACCTTAAAAACTTCTAAGGAAGGAGATTCCACCACCTCTCTAGGCAACGCATTCCCTTGTTTCACCACCCTCCTAGTGAAAAAGTTTTTCCTAATATCCAACCTAAACCTCCCCCACTGCAACTTGAGACCGTTACTCCTTGTCCTGTCATCTTCTACCACTGAGAATAGTCTAGAACCATCCTCTCTGGAACCACCTCTCAGGTGGTTGAAAGCAGCTATCAAATATCCCCTCATTCTTCTCTTCTGCAGACTAAACAATCCCAGTTCCCTCAGCCTCTCCTCATAAGTCATGTGTTCCAGACCCCTAATCATTTTTGTTGCCCTTCGCTGGACTCTCTCCAATTTATCCATATCCTTCTTGTAGTGTGGGGCCCAAAACTGGACACAGTACTCCAGATGAGGCCTCACCAATGTCAAATAGAGAGGGGCGATCAAGTCCCTCGATCTGCTCGCTGTGCCCCTACTTATACATCCCAAAATGCCATTGGCCTTCTTGGCAACAAGAGCACACTGCTGACTCATATCCAGCTTCTCGTCCACTGTCACCCCTAGGTCCTTTTCCGCAGAACTGCTGGTTAGCCATTCGGTCCCTAGTCTGTAGCTGTGCATTGGGTTCTTCCGTCCGAAGTGCAGGACCCTGCACTTATCCTTATTGAACCTCATCAGATTTCTTTTGGCCCAATCCTCCAAGTTGTCTAGGTCCCTCTGTATCCTATCCCTGCCTTCCAGCGTATCTACCACTCCTCCCAGTTTAGTATCATCCGCAAATTTGCTGAGAGTGCAATCCACACCATCCTCCAGATCATTTGTGAAGATATTGAACAAAACCGGCCCCAGGACCGGCCCCTGGGGCACTCCACTTGACACCGGCTGCCAACTAAACATAGAGCCATTGATCACTACCCGTTGAGCCCGACAATCTAGCCAACTTTCTACCCACCTTATAGTGCATTCATCCAGCCCGTACTTCTTTAACTTGCTGACAAGAATACTGTGGGAGACCGTGTATTAACAGCAGCAGTAACAGTAGTAACAGCAGCGGTGAGCTGAGCGGGCTCCATGCTTGCCATCGTATGGCGTCTTGTAACCCAAGAAAAAAAGCGCAAAACGATTGTCTGCTGTTGCTTTGAGGGGGGGAGGGGCGACTGACGACATGTACCCAAAACCACTCTCGACAATAGTTTTTGCCCCATCGGGCATTGGGAGCTTAACCCAGAATTCCAGTGGGCAGCGGAGACTGTGGGAACTGTGGGATAGCTACCGACAGTGCACTGCTCCTTAAGTCGATGCTAGCCACTGATAAACAGTTTTGAAAATCCCCAACCCTCAGTTATCCCAGAACATCTTTAAAAAAGAGTAGCATGAGCCTGGTCTCTCTCTCTTTTTCTCTCAATAATAAATTAATACTTAGCACGTGCATACCATCTAAAAATCTCAAGGTGTTTTGTAGACCTTAATTCTCACATACAACCTTGTGAAGCTGGTAAGTGGTTTTATAGAAGAAGGCACAGAGAAGTGTTGTGACTTGTCTAAATTCACTCAGATGGTGGCAGAGCTGGGACTAGAACTTAGGACATGTTGCTCCCAGTTGTCTGTTCTAACTCCTAGCCAACACTTCAGCGCTTGTTTTAATTTCCACGCTGTATGTGAGTAGTAGGTGAGCTCACAAACATTACTACATTTGTTTCATTCATTAGACTGTAGAGTGCTTTGGGATGCCTTCAGCATAAAAGACTCTGTATAGAACCAGATTTTCTCTCTTTCTATGAATAAACACATCTAATACTAGATTTACTACTTTCAGCATTGCTTCTTATCTATAATGTGACTCCATCTTTTTTGAAGATGTTCTCCCACCAACTACTTAAAAAATACCTGTATGATCTTGATGGTGAATCTGAATTTGATCTAGAGATTTATTATATCTATTTAAACAAGTTTCTGCAAATATTAATTAAGGTTCAAACAATGCCAAATATCCTGGTCTCTCTTTGCTACACACTATTGTGCAAGTTCCACTGAACAGCATGCAGCATCTTACCTATAGTGCAGTGGTTCTCAAACTATTGTTGCAGATTGCACGTATCCCACTGAGGACTCTGTCACAACAGAGAAACATCTTTAATTCTTCAAGCACTGACACTTACTTCTACCTTTATCCTTGATCAGGACTCTGTCAGGGTTTCCAAAGTCTTTTTTAGACCAACCAAATTTAGACATTTTAATCCTAAGTGACTGCTTCATATCTTTCTTTATTAAGTGTTTTTTAAATAAATTCAGCCATGATCAAGTTAGTAGATGTTGCCAATATTAGAGGGATAACCAGTGCAGAAGAGGACAGACCAAAACTGCTAAGTGACTCATATTGATGCAAGCAGTAAGGGCAGGCAATGAAAGGAGATTTAGTGCTGAGAAAAGTAAATTCCTAAATCCAAGGAGAGACAATAAACAGCGGATACAAAATAATGATATGTAAGCAAGCAGTTACACGAAGTGCATTAAAGTATTTTTATTTTCTTTTGTCCTGAATACAGTTCAAGTATTCCCAGGGTAGTGTAACCCAGCACAATAGCTTTCATAGGGAAGATGTTGGATCAGGTTTGGGACCGGAAGTGTCCTTGAGAGGATGTATAGCATAGCATTGTTCACAAGATGAAAGAGTTTGAGAATCACTGTTAAAGATGTTACCAAATCCTCTGCAAATAATGAAGGGAGAACCTCCTTGATTGGGGAAAGCTTAGGACGATGGCTCTTAGATGTGGGAAAGAACTGATATCATCCATGCCATGTAAGAGCAGGAACAGAGTAGTCTCGTGATAGAAAACACTTCAGAACGCATTGGTTTTTAATTGCAATACTACCTTATTTTCTGTTTAGATATGATGATAAGTTAGTGGTCCCCATCGTTGAGAACACACCAGAGGAGAAGGATCTCAAGGAACGAATGGCACATGCAATGAATGAATACCCAGACTCTTGTGCTGTATTGGTCAGACGTCATGGAGTTTACGTATGGGGAGAAACATGGGAAAAAGCCAAAACAATGTGAGTGCAATTTAAAGAAGGTCATATCTGTTGCCATAGTAGCCCTGAAATATTAATGGAGGTAGAATCACTGCATATGCATCCCAGCCACAGTTGATACTTCACTCTCTTGGCTCACACCACCAGTGACAATTGGCCCAGTCTACAGGGTTCTTGACAACTTCTTTTCATGTGGGAAAACAGAATCTGTGATCTTTCCTCTGACAATCTGCATATAAAGACTCTGATTGATTTTGGTGGAGTTTATATAGGCCGTTGGAGAGGAAACTTAGACTTGTTTCCTCATGGCTATGGAGCAGCCATTGACATCTGGAAGAGCCATCATTGCCCAGTTTGCCAACCTGTGGGAACAGATAGTCCGGATTCCCACATACACATCAGCTTCTGGGGAAGATCTCCAAGTTGCTTACATGGGCCCCTTGCAGTATCCTCCTCAACAGCCTCAGCCTACAGCCACACATGATGGGCTGTTTAACGAGAATCCATTTCCCCACCTGCCAGCGGAGAGCTGTGCAGCACAAACCCTGGGCACCACAGAGACCTTGCTAATCCTCCCCCACCAGAGACTTCACCGTGGAGGTGGAGTGACTATTGCAATAAAGTGATAGCGGGAGTGTGCTGCCTGACCACTGTGCTATCAATGGTCAGTGTATAGAAGAAAAATGTTCGCTTTTTAAACATATGCAGCTTCCTAAGGATGCGTCCCAACTCCACATTTCTCCTGTTCTCTTTTTACTGAAGGTGCGAATGTTATGATTACCTGTTCGATATCGCAGTACAGATGAAGCAGCATGGACTAAATCCTGCAAAACATCCAGCTGAAGAAAACGGGATTGTATAAACTACTAACAACACAGTTCTATACCCCCACCCACCCAAAATTGCAGTGCAGAAAGTGGAAATGTATTTGTCAACCTTCAAGCGTTTATAATTGAATGCCCTTCTACTGCATCTAGTAGAGCATGCTTTATGTCTTTATGTCAAAAGGTGAATTATAGCTAAAGTGTTTAATAACAGCAAGTGGAGGAAATGTAGCCCCCAATCCTGCAAGCTGACCTGTGCAGGCAGACCCCTATGCCCAGGTACACACCTTGACTGCAGGATCAGGGTCATGCATAGCAATCCTTCTTTCGGGCTTGGTTTTTTTTCCTTCAGTAGCAATTGTTGAATGCCATTTGATTAATTTCAGTGTGCATGGTGTGTCACTTGTGTACCTTGGACAGAAAAACTACAGTGGATTTGGCTCCCTGTTGCCAAAGAATCACTGCTTAATAATAGCTGAAACTGTCTTAGTTAATTTTTATGAGAAATTTAATTTTATCAGATTATCATTTTTGTATCTGTTTAAATATATAAACACATTAAATCAGTAATTGAATGTTTTAAGCAGAACAAAGGAATTCAGAGCAGAAACCTTAACTCCACCTCAGCGTGCCTGACTTTGATACAGCAGCATATAATACACGTAGGCTAACTGTACAGTCAGTTGTGCCTCCCATCTCTCTCTCTCTCTCTCTCTCTCAGGAACAGGGCCTGCAGCAGAGCTAGTTTGGAGGGGCCAGCAGGCTGGCTCTTAAGCCAGCAGCAGCTTACTGGCTGTTCAACGCTCATTCCCACCATTGTGCCTGCTCCTATGTTACCTTGTTCCTGCTGCTCTTGCCTTGCACCCAGCCTTGTCTTTGTCTTACCCTTGGCTTGAACCTGCTTGCCTGCTACCCTGTTTGCTGCAGTTCTTGAGCTCTGGCTTGACCTTAGGCTCCGGCTTCTGACTGCTGACTCCTAGCTTGACTGTCAGCTCTGGTATTTAGCTCCTGACCTCCAGCTTGACCCATGGCTCTGGCTTCTTACTACTGACTCTGGCTTGACCTCTGGCTATGATATCCAGTTCCTGCCCTCTGGCTTGATCCTTAGCTCTGGTATCTAGCTCCTGACCTCCAGCATGACCCTTGGCTCCAGCTTCTGACTACTGACTCCAGCTTTGACCCTAACCTTAGTTCCCGACATCTATTCCGACCCCCAGGTCTAACGCTCACTCTGACTACTAGGCGAGATTGCCCTTGATAGTCACATGACACTATTGTGCAGTGTAAATAACCTTGAGTGAGTATCTGCTCCTCTGACTCTCCTAATCCCTAGAAAACAACACCACCACCCATACTCACCTTGCTGGACAATGTCCATTTAGGTGACCTGGATTTATATGTATATACTCAGAATAATATCTGTATTGAGATGAGAAGAGTTAGTTAAACTTAAAGTCAGAGATTGAGGGACCAAGTAAGCCAGACACAAAGACAGTCTTGGATAAACCCACTTCTATATTTTTATGCAGCATCCAGCATCAATATTTAGGTAGTTTGTAATTTTTCTAGAATCAGTGGTTTTATTAAAATCAATATAGCACTGTATTTAATTGAAAGAGAAAAATGTCCAAAATAGTATCTGAGCAAAAACTGATTATAGCACTTAAGGTATGTCTACACTGCAGACACCTGTGGTTGGCCCATGCCAGCTAATTCTGACTCATGGGGCTGTTTAATTGCAGTGTAGACTTCAGGGCTAGGGCTGCAGCCCAAGCTCTGGGACCCTCCCACCTTGCTGGGTCCTAGAGCCCAGGCTCCAGCCCGAGCACAGAAGTCTACACTGCAATTGTGCAATGTAGTTGTAGCCGTGTTGGTCCCAGGATGCTAGTGAGATGAGGCAGGTGAGGTAATATCTTTTATTAGAGCAGCTTCTGTTTGTGTGAGAAAGACAAGCTGTTGAGCCACACAGAGCTCTTCTTCGGGTTTGGGAAAGATACTCCCAGCATCACAGCAAAATGCAAGGTGGAACAGATTAGCAGTTAGCACATATTGTAAAGAACCGACCCAAAGATGCCTGTTCCTGAAAATCAGAGCAATCTTCAAAGATTCCAGAGCCTAAATTTGAACAAAACCCTTTCTAATCAAATTAGTGGTTTCACATATTAGTATTAAGATCCCTTTGACTATTTATTCTACTTTAATAACTTGTTTAGAATATCTTTGCCTTTGTCCTGCTTCTCCCATCCAGGTTTGGGTGTTCCTAATCCACTACGCAACTCTCAGATTCTCCTGCACATGACCCAAGCCAGAGGGGGGCGCTATTCCACTCATTTGACAGGTGGGATTCTACTAGTTATTTTTGACTATGAGATGGTTTGGAAGAAAAGGAGGGAGAGGTTTTTTTTAGATTGCTGTGGATGAATATCTTCCAAAAATCACTTTGATTTTCTCACTTCAATTGTAAGTTTCTGAAATGCTCCACCTGCCAATGAAAAAAAAAATTAAATACTTTTTTTTTGCTCTTACAGCTTTCTGTTTATAACTTCACAATCATATAATTTTATTATTATTATTTTGTAGGGTGGAGGGTTTGGTGTGGAAAACCTTAAGTGGAGGTTTATGACAAATACACACTGATATAATCTTTTACTATAATTTAACTTTTTTATTTTCTTCTGCAACTTCTCTCTGTATTGAAATGATTTTTATTTATTAATTATTATTGCCATCATATTGCCTGCACTTTCTCTCAAAAAAGAGGGTTTTGGTTTGGTCAGACTTGGACATCTGTTTTTGAAGGTCAATAAAAAGGGTAATGAAGATGTAGAGATGATGTGGGCAACAGTTCAGTCTCTATTTTCTGTTAAGTATATACTGGAAAAAGATACTAGGCACCATATTCGATGAAGGATTAATATATTTTAATTGTGATGTCTCTTTTATATTGCTGTGAGATATTGCATTTTTTCTAGCTCTGCTTCTAAATATTTAGCTGTGTGCTGGACTGTGGTTCATAATTTCTGCAGGACTAATGACCCATGGTGGTTCTGTTGATAGTTGTCTAGCCACTCAAGTTGAAAATTTCAGTATCAGCTGACAGAATCTATACCACTGGGCTGGATACTTTTTTTAAAAAATTGCGGAATTCAAAAATTAGATATGAAGCCTGAAGCACCAGTTGAACTACTAATTTGTTCCTGAGTGTTTTGTTAATGTTGTTTTTTAATCAAGCCTATAACTGATGGCCTTGGAATCCTCTGCTAACTTAGGTTCTCTTCTGAACGAAGAAAAAGCTAACAATTCTATAGCTTGCCCTTGGGAATGAATTACTACAAGACTGATATTCTGTCTTAATTTTTCCTTCACAAAGGAATTCACTTTCAATAAGATCTTGTTAAAGACCATTAGAATTTTAAAACATCTTGATAAATGTCTTTATGGCCATAATTAACCATGGAAAAATTTCATCAAATGTCATGATTCAGGATATAAACAATGCCATGAGGGTCAAAAAGTACGTTATTCACTGAAATACAGTATTCCATAATAGTGCATTTTAATATCTTCTTCCACCATATTGGGGAATGGCCAGTGTTGGAAGCAAGGTATCAGTTTGGATGGGCTAATGGTCTGATCAGATTGAGTAATTATGTCTCTATGGATACCTCTGTAAATCAAGAGCTACAGTATATAGCAATAAATTTTACTTTGTTCTATGAAAAAGATGAGCTGATTCCTTTATTATATTGATTATGTATGCCATAATGTCGACAGTCAGATTTGCCTTTTAGGGTAAGGAGAAATTATCTCCTTTTTTTGTCTCTCTTGTGACCTTATGCAATTGTTCTCCCAGGTCTGCTTAGAAATAAATTGTGGTGTGCTGAACTTATCCAACAAATATGATGTTCTGTCTTGATCAAGCTTTGCATTGGACTTTGTAATGTGACTAAAGGTCTGCAAATAGGCATTTTTAGTTAGGAATGACTTAATTGCGAGGAACATTACCCACTATACATTTTGTAGGACAATATACTGTTCCCTCCTTGGAAGAATTCAAGTACTTTCACCAGGAAGTAGTTAATCTTTCATCCCTTCAAATTCCTCTATCCTGCCCCTTCTTGAATAAGTTCCTTGAAAGAACTGCAGTACTGGTGAATGTTTAGATAGACCCCATCTATCTCTGAGGGATGGAGTTTAAGGCCATGTCTAAACTACCACTTATTTTGGCAAAACTTACATCACTCAGAGGTGTGGAAAAATACCCCTGAGCAACATAAGTTTTGCCGGCATAAGTGGTAGTGTGCACAGCACTATGTCGGCAGGAGAGCTTCTCCCGCTGACATAACTACTGTCACTCATTGAGGTGGTTTTATTGTGTTGACAGGAGGGCTCTCTCCTGTTGGTATAGAGCGGCTACATGAACAATCTTACAATGGTGCAGCTGCATCAGTACAGTTCTGCCACTGTAAGCTCGCTAGTGTAGAAATGGCCTAAAATGACCTCCTCACACGAATTTTCTTCATCAAAATTCAGTGAGGAAAACCTCGGTTTTGTCTTTCATTTCCCACTTTCTACCAGTGACCAAATTTGGCTGGTCTTGGATTCCTTACACTATTTAGGAAGAACACAGCCATTGCACTGAATATGAGTGATTGCAGCTTGAATTATTTCTGTTTTCCCTATAATTCACCTCTACCTTAAGAAAACAAACTTCTGCTGGTAATGTAGCCAACCAAGCTCCCTTTCCCTGCATTTCATCAAAGTAGTGCCACTTTTCTTTTCCACTGACGATGGGTTTCATATTTTCTCCCCAAATATGACTGAAAAGCTAATGGGCTATTTCCTACTTGACTTCTTCTATTGTTTTTGGACCCCTATTTCCTTTTCAGTTACTTGTCTTTTGTGGCTTAGACTTCGTTATTTCTATTATTTCATATATACACCCATGCTGTATTGTATCTACTGAACTCCATGTCTTCAGTTCTGAGCAAATTTACTCAATTAAAATGAAACTATATTTTTTAACAAGAACCATGTTTTCAAGTGAAGTTGAAGGAGAGGAATTTTGAAAGTGAACAGTTAATACAGGGATCTGATCAAACCCATTGTATAGGGCTTACTCCCACTTTCCCGCATAGGTGCTCTAGTTCCTAGTTCAGACTTGCCTTACTGTGATTTTTTTCCCCCTATTATTCATGCTTTTTTACCCAATTTGAGCACCCAGCAAAGTCGTATTCAGTACTTTTTACTGTCAAACTGATGGGTTTGGGTGGAGCTTTGTCCTGTGTGATGCATAGGCCTGTGCCACTGTTAACCAAGTCTGCCCTTCCAACCTTCCAGTGGTGATTACCAACAGTGTGGTGACCTTTTTCTACATCATTGTTCACATATTCTGTGTCAAATGTGTCATTATTGATCCACTAGCTAGCTACCGTAGCATCTGTATTTTCTTGGCTAATTTTTCTCATCACTAGATGTATTTCTCAGTACCGGACATTTGGTTTTTGGTGGGGAGCATTCACTGCAGCAGTCAGAGTGATGATCTGTGGGTTGCAGCAGAGACTGAGAATAAGAACTCCTGTGTCCTTCTGACTCACTGTGTGATTTTTGACCGGTCATGTAATCTCTCTGCTTTAATCATGTTCCTGTTGTAGCGCCGATTAACGTGTGTAAACAGTGTCAAGATCTTTGTATTTAAGATGCTATATATTTGAAAGATGTTAAGCAGCTTCTGTCTTCCTTAGTGCTGTTATCACCCCAGAGATATGCTAGCAAACAGATTCATTGCTGATGTTTCAATCCAACTACAGGTAGTTTCTGTTTACAATCTGATAGCTGATGGTGACCTCTGATACCTTCTCTAAACTGCACTATCTCTTTAAAAGTGAATTCCTGTTAGTATTGAATTAATAAAAAAGGGTTTTCAAGCCTACCATTTACAATCCTAGTGGAACATAGTTATATCATTGTACAGTACTGATGTTTAAAACAAATACAAAAAAGCTTCCACAGTTACTTGCTATTTTGCTCCATTAGTACTGCACTGATTGACTAGACTAGAGGATACAAGGACAAGCATTTTTCTTGCCATCTTTGTTCTTCAAGATTTGTATGTTAATAACCAATAAACATTTGATCTGCTTTGACCTCTCTTTAACAGAGGTGTAAAGACTGCCTCTATAAAATTTCAGTGGTAACATAACTCCACATAGGAATTTTTTCTCTTTCAATACATGCTTCCTCCACCCCCAGGTGTATTTTGTAACTGGCTGGAAGCTGAAGGTAGACAAATTTAAACTGGAAATAAGGTATACATTTTTAACAGTGAAGGTAACTAACCACTGGAACAGTTTTTCAAGGGTCATGGCATATTCTCCATCACTGCCAATTAAATCAAGATAGGATTTTTTTTTAAAGACATGCTCTAGTTCAAAAGAAATTATTGTGCAGAAGTCTCATGGCCTGTTATACAGGTCAGGCTAAATGATCACAATTGTCCCTTCTAGCCTTTGAACTCCCTGTACTCTCATTTTATTCTGAGTCCAGCTGAGAGATTTTCTTCATAATAATTTATAGAAGATTTAGTACCAACAGAACAGCAGTTATCACCCTTTTTCTGACTGGTCCCTCATCTAGTCAGGACTGAGTTAGAACTCTAAATACCTTTTGAGGATCTGGACCTAAGGCACTAAGCATTCTTAAAACTATTGCCCTATGTCTACTGTACTTGTTTGACTAAGGTGTTTTTGTACATTTGCAGCAAGAGTTTGATCACCTTCACAATTCTAACTGATTATCTGAGTTTAGTATCACCAGCTCGTGTTATGTACAAAATGCTAACCTATCTATTACTGGTGGATCATATAAACTACTAATTATAAATGAAAATCAGATGTTCCTTCATACTAGTTAGTTTTTCAAAAAACATCCCATTTGGTTTTCAGAAGGCAGAAGTTGGCAAAATGCAAAAATTTGCAATATTAAATGATATGCCTGTAATCCACATTAGCTTCATAATTATTTACCATAAGTACTCAATTTTGATAATTGATCTTGCATTACATTTCCTCTGACACCTCAACCTTCATTTTAAAAAGTCAAAACCTAAAAGGACAGAAGGAGCAACATAGGAAAATTGGTAACAGGACCGGAAGCCTTTCTCTGAAATCCTTACGTGTTTGCTTTTTGGCAGCTTCTGTTAAGTGAATTGGTTTTGATTCTCTTCCTGTGGAAAATCACATCACCAAGAAAACACTACTGCATTTGCCACCAATAGCAGTCTCAATGGAGGGGCTAGCTGTTAAATTGGCATGAAGACTGAATCACCCTGCAGGTGTTACCTCCATGTCAGCATTGAGGCACACTCGCTTTGGTAATGGGGGAGAACAGTACGGGGAAATGGGCATTGATGCTGTACCCTAATAAACAGAGGATTGTGTCTCCACTACTGTCCATCGAACACTAATCTACTTCTGAAAAATGTTGATGAAGTAATACGATGCTCCCTGTTTGTTCCATAGGCAAGGAATGTTTAGTTTTCTGCCACTGTTTTGCTTTTTTTCCCCCACTGCTATATTCCCCAATTTCTTTCAACCAGAGAAATTTACCTGACTCAGTTATATAAAAAGGGAGTGTGTAGCAGCCAAGCAAGCTACCATAACGTTTTCAAAGTAAATGCCCTCTCTTGCCCCTCTGTTTTTTTTTTTTTAAATAAAAGGCATCTGTGGATAAGTCACTGCCCTCTTCGTACATTATTAGATTCAAATAGTGCTATCTTGCTTTTAACACTTCCTTATCCAAATTGTTGCCGTAAGAGGCCACATTCAAACTTGATGTAAAGAAACTTTGATCTTACAAACTTGTGGGTAAAGAAAGTTAGCAGTCCTACTACTTCAGCACCTAAACTCAATGTGGCTAGCAGAGGTTAGGAAGGAATCATTCCTTCCTCTAGAGTAATATTGGACAATTGGCCACTACACACTACAGGAAGGGGGATATGAAGAGATGTTTTTTCCTGTGCCTAAGGCAGAATATCAGACCAACTAGACTAACACTGCATACAAATATAGGCTGTGGAGCTGTGCTGGATTTTTGTAACAAAACCTAAAATAAGTAATTTAGTTCTGGATTGTGTTGCCAATTAAACTGAAACTGCAAAGCATTCTGAACAGATGAAAGTAACTTCAGCTGGGTTTTAGAGTTTTGAGGTTTGTTCAAAACAAAACCAGGAATTCCATTTTCGTGAATCGTGAGCTGAACTGTCGTGAGTTTTTCCACGTCTCTTGTGTCAATTCTTTTGCTTCTGCTAGACCACAATCAGAAGGAATAGTGATCAGATGGTATAAAATACAAAAAGCAGAATGGGAAAATTTGTCTAGATATGAAGCAATGATAAATGACATTGTTTCAAATTGGTCAGACAGCAATTACAAAGACCCATTGTTTTCCTTAACTGTAAGAGATCATGCTACAATCCAAGCAAGTTTCTCACACCTGGCACATATAAAATTACAGACTTTAATCTTCAGAAACCAGTTCTACAAGAGCTTAAATGTATAGCATAAGTTCCATCTTCTCTAAGTATGCCTCAAACCAACAGAATATTATCATTAGCAAAAATCAGGTAATTAGAAATGGAGTTCACTTGTGGTTGGGAGGACAGAATGTTTTTTTAGTTAAAGCGCCAAACTGGAAGTCTGGGTTCTATTGCTGAGGTATGACTTTAGGCAGGTCACTTTGGGTCAGAGATTTAAAGAGAGCCTGAAAGAGTCGGGTGCTTAAATCTCACTGAAATCTAATCAGAGCTAGCTACTTCCTTAGGCTCCTCTGAAATTCCTAGCCTTTATCTCTATGTGCCTCAGTTCTGTAAAATAAGGATTTTAGAATGAT